ATTATTATTATTTTTTTTTTGTTAGGATAGGACAATATTTGGCCAAGATACAAATATTTGAAAATCTGGAATCTGCGGGTGCAAAAAAACAAAATATTGAGAAAATCGCCTTTAAAGGGTTAGTTCACCCAAAAATTGATTCGCTGGATTCGCTACAGTAGGCCTTTATTCACCCCCCAGAGCCATGTGAGGCATGTTTTATTACGAATGCGCGCACTTTATTTCACGTCTTCTGGACTGTTGACAAAAAGCACGCGCTTACCTCCATTGTAATGCTTGGAGGGGCAAGGACAATTTTTTATATAACTACGATTGGATTCGTCTGAAAGAAGAAAGTTATATACACCTAGGATGCTTTGAGGGTGAGTAAAACACAGGCTAATTTTCATTTTTGGGTGAACTAACCCCTTAAAATCTATTTAATGGGAAACTTTCTTTTCATGAGGAATCCAAATAAAAATAAACTGATCAAGTGATACTTTTTATGTATTTTCATGACAAAAACATAGCATAAAGAAATGACTATGCTCAGCTGTAAAATCTACAGAAGATAGATATCACTCCCTCCCATAGGTTGTGGTGTTCTGCCCAGCTCTAAAGCAGTTACATAAGCCTAGCCAAACACTGAATCATGCATTTATATGATCACTGATTGAAACTTGGGGAAAAAAATTTTTTTTGGCAGAATGATAATTAAAATAATAATAAAATAAATAAAAATAAAAAATACACAGACATTGTAAGGTTGCAGTCATAACAAAAAGCTTACTGCTGCATTATATAGATTGTATTATATCCAGATTATATAGTATAGTGTATTGGCAGTGTTACTCTGACTCACATCCATTCCATTCACTACATTCCATTGCTGGCAATTTTAGAGGATGATCCAATGGACTATATGCAATGGAAAGTTATTTTGCCAATTTAAAGGTCATTTACTGTGGGCACCCACAGCTGTTGGTTCACTCTAACAGTCTTAAAAGATAATGTAATTCTGCATATATGCGATTCCCACCACGGATGTGGTCTGTTCCATAAATAGAACCATCAATGGATCGGCACGTGGCACTTCACTGGCAGTTCATTTTCCAACATTGGTACATTATTTACTCCCATGGCTGTGTGCAAATGTGCATATCCACAAAGCCCACATACAAACCATTACATTAGCTTTGTTGATGACATGTCTGTACTACCTCAGCAACTGGCATTAGATTATTATGAATCAAAGATTATCATCATCATATAACTTAGGCCCAATGATAACATGATAGGAAATATCATGACTAATTATAACTAACAGGTATGTTCAAATTACTTTTGATGCTTGACTCAATTTACTTTTTTTTATTAAAGTGAGCTAATACAATGAATTTTGATTCCATTGTTTCTAATTTCATTCCATGCAATCCACTTGAATAGAAATGTAAGTAACCCATTTGTGTTGGGTAGGGTGACCATATGCCCTCTCCTAAATTGCTTAAAATGTCCAGGTCTTGGCTTTGTTTTTGCTATTGATATGCTCTCTACAGTCCTTATACATTATATGTACATGTACTTGCATTGCTTTGACAGTTCTCAGTAGATCCCACCTTCTCTCATGCCATGATTGGCCAATTATGTACTACTTTTCAGTCATTGCCTCCAGCAAGCATGAAAACAATAGGGAAAAAAGCCAAATCCCGTACATTTTAGACAAATTAAATATCTTTCCAGCATATATCCAGGAAAAAGAGGATGCATGGGCTGTTTACATGCAACCAAATAATCTGCTAGTAATTGGATTGACAGCTCAATCAGACTAAAAAGCCTTCATGTAAGCACTACATCCAGATCCATCATTCGGAATGAATTCAGTCCAGTTGAAACAAAAGTTGTGCATGTAAACATGGCCATGGATCAACCTTGTTGGGTCTGCAACTGCATGAATCTTTTTTTGTTGCTACAGAAACTGGGAATGTGGTTTATTTTTCCCAGCATGCTTTGCTTGGGACTGCATGGAATAACTTTATACAAAACAATTGATACTACCTTCTACTAGGCCAGTTGACAGATATTGTGTTAATTAATGTGGCTGGGTTTTGTTTCCGCTATTCATTTAATTGGAACATACCTGAATCTTCATGTTACACAATGTTAAAAGTTGTAGGCCTTTTTAAAATGGGAAGGTGGTGCTCGCATGTTGTCAAACTGACAGGGGAACTCTGTTTGAAATGGATAGTAGGCCTACTTTGTGTTAGCAAGACTCGCTTCGCTTTGTTTGTACATAAGCATGGGCAGGAAGCTTCTGTCACATATCCAATCTAAGGGCATCCCTCCCACGGTTAGTTGTCTGAATCGATTTTAAATGGATTATTTTTTTAATGCTTCGGGTGCTGAAATTATGCTTGCTGTAGCAAGAGATATTCATCTGGGGGAAGACCAAGACACGGTGGATGCCGCCTCATTAACTCCCAGTCAGAGCCGGGAGAACAAACGATCAGTTTGCACCGCTGCCGCCTTTGCAAGAACGCCAACGCGGCGTTCCCCATCCTGCGACTTTACGCAGCACAGTGTGGAAATGATGGAGGTGGACGAATTTCTCTTTCGGCTTCAGGAGATCATCGTGGGATAGGTCATTTGTCAACAGAATGCTGTTAATTCTCTGAGGCAGAACGTACCTCTTCAATCGCCTGCTCCTGTGAGACAATCGACGTCCCCTGGGTGAAGTTAACGTAAACAGTCAGTTGGTTGCAGAAACACTATCTTTTCCGACAGCCATGTAAAGCCACTGTCAACTCATTCTCACCATGAGCTAATCCAATTCGTTCATGTTTAACACCACAGACATTCTGAAAGAATCCACATGGCAGGATTTTCTTAACTTTCATTATGGAATATTCATTATCGTGTCGTTACTGTAACCAAAACATGCCAATTCACACATTAAAACGACTTAAGAATGCTATTCTGCATTGTATCCTGTATAAATGAGCAAAACAATAGAGGTAGAAATGGCATTCAAACTTTAGATCGATATGTAAACGTTTCTTTAATTACACAAGAAAGGTGCACCCTCAAAATAATTTAACTAATGACCCTTAAGGCTGTCGTACTATTAGAGTGAGCCAAAAGAACTTCGTAATGAAGAAAAATGAAGGCAACAAATGAAAGCCCAGGATCATCCCGCATTTTTGTGAATGAGCTTGCTCACTCCTTTCATGTCAGAATAAAATAGGGGGGAAAGTACAATTGAGAGAACACTTGGATAGACTGCAGTAAAAGAGCGCATCACAGTTTTGGAACTGGTGGCTTTCTACATTACTTTAGGTACGTGGTAGGCCTGTCGCAATAATCAATATAAAAATTTTACTCCATAAAAGTTCTTTGTGCATTTTTCTTTTTTTCTACTTGTTACTTTGCACTTTTAGTTAGAAATGTTTATTTACTATTTATTCAAGTTTTTTAAGGTATCTAATATTTTGATACTTAATTTCCATGATCTAAATATTCCTAAAATTAAAAGTTTGTTGTCATTTGGAAGTGTGTAGGCCTTCTTGCGCTATTATGCTGTTACATTATGATTATATTCAGTGGCATAAAATGGTCTTTAAAATGACAATGATATAGCTTATCGCAATTATTTCTGGGGCAATATATCTCACAACAACAAGTTGTTATCGTGACAGGCCTAGTACGTGGTTAAGTTTAACTTTTAAACTCGTGCAGAAATGCGGCTTTGTCAACGGTCCTTTCTGCATCCCTGTTAATGACAACTACTCTGAATAACGGCGTGTCGCCACAGGACAACAAAGTTGCACTTGCAGACCTAGAGCGTTATTAGTTAGCTCTGCAAAACAATTTCACTAGAGATACTGCAACATGACACGTAATGCGTGCAAAATGAAGAGTTTTCATTTTAAAAGGAAAGAGATGTGGTCCACCTGGAAACATTATAAAAACGAACTTGAAAAATGACAAAAGGAATAATTATTGCACCACCTCGTTCTTTATTGTTACACATTTAAATTTTAGTAGATACTATTGCCATATAAGTTGCTTAAAGGAATCACGAAACGCTTTCATCATTTACTCATCCTCATGCCAAACATGACCTTTGTTTTGTGGGAATGTGAGTGACTGACAGCCTGAGTCACATTAACTTTCTTAGTACGGAAAAAAAAAACGATGAAAGTGAACGGTGACTGAGACTGTCAGTTCCTAACATCTCCTAAAACAACATAAGGGTGAATAATAATGACAAAGATCATTGGGTGAATAGGCTTTTAACATTTCAATTGTCAGTTCATTCAAACAGATAAAGTTCATCATGGTCCCTGAAAACTACTGCTGACAAAAGCGATTTTTTTTTCGCACTTGCATTTACCGACGAGTCTCTTTTTACACACTAGAAGGCTTTAGTGTTCAAGCAAACCATGACTGCGAACACTCCTGTACTCATGATAAATCACATTTTTGCCGGAATTGCTCTTTTTATTCAAAGGCTACAATAAAGATCACCCGAACATTTAGGAAAGAAATGTGCATTAAATATAGGAAAACATAACTTTACATTAGTGACATATTAACGTCCGGAATGATGCATTTTAAACAATAGGCTATTGTTGCAAACTGAAATTGTGTTTAATTCGAGGCTATTTTAAGCTGTCATCTCTTTGCAGTTTGGATTTTGACGTTGCACAATGGATACCAACATAGTACACTGAAACACTGTACTGTAACACTGTATTGTAAATGTTTATTGTCCATTAGGCCATGCAGAAAACCGGTTGCAACAGCTTTCAATAATGATACATTTCAAAACATCCTGTCACGACCTGGGTGTGGAAGAGGCACATTAGCTACTCAATAAATGCAGATTAGACAAAACATGTATAATATGCATTTGGGATCGCTTTTCACCATGCACTTGACGATTCAAGCACCAGCTGTTTCCTCTGTGAATTTCATAGAGTAATTGCATTTATACATTTTGTTAGTGAGGCAATGCACATCGTGATGACGATCGTTGGCTCCTTTGTGTCACGCTGTCGTATGCAGCTGCATCTGGAAGGGACCGGTCTCGCGCTCCCCGTGTTGTCTAGCCCTCTCTACTCGGCGAAAAAAAGTACTATTTCATTCATCCCGTTTCCTTCCATTCATCTGGGCACTGCAGCGTAGCGAAGACTTGGGGTTCGATCAGCACCAAAATTCTTATCAATGGAGAGGGTGACGTCAATGAGCTAGAGTGACGTGCAGTCACGTGGGCGCAGTGGGGCCGAAATAAAAACACGGAGAGCTGACCGTGGTACTGAAAATATCCCCATAGCACCGCGCAAGAAAAGCCAACCATACGACTTACACAAACGAAATCACTGTACAAACAAAACAGCAACATTCAAACAAAGAATTTATTGTTGAAGCGGATTCTTACACGTAGATCACGAGAATAACTTAAATACGAAGTTTGGAGAAGACACAATTGGTGCGTCGGACTGCGCTGCCACTGACAGGATTCCTGGTAAGTCCCGGCTTTCTTTTTATAGTAACAGGCAACAGTAATGACAGAAGCCGTGGGAAAATAAGTGTATATTGTAATGTGGACAGATGAAACAAATTAAAAACGTAAAGATTTCGCTATATTAGCATGTTAAAAAAATATTCCCTGTATAAAAAAAAAAACAACACAAAAATGTTAAGGATTTGTAGTAAAATGCATTCTAAAATACATTTTTAAAAATCTGCATTTAAAAAGATGAGAAAAACATGTAGAAACTGAAATTAGGCTATAGCATTTAATAAAATCTATACAATTGAATTATTGGTCAAGGAGCTAATGCAACCTATTAAACCCACTTTAGGAACACCAAATATTGCAATGGTGACTTGTATACTTAATGATGAAGGTGACGGGGATGATCAATGGCACAGCTCTTGTAATGATTTTTACCACGCCCTTGCTCATGCTTTCATCATGTTTCTTATCACCATAGCATCAGATACCCAAAATAACAACGTTGAGTCCAATCACAAAAGCACGCGAGAGACACGGAGATTAAAAAAAATCATGTTTTGCTTTGGCTTGCCTTGACTTTTGCCGGTTGGGAGTCCAATTTGAATTTTATTTTACATGCTTATATGTACCTGCTTATATGGAGCAGAGAAATGTTGACATGAAATTTAGCAGAGCATTCATTATCTGTTTTTATGTCTTTCAAATGTTGTTGACTGGGTTCAATTTGTGATAGCAGTATGGCTCATTTGAAATCTTAAATCTAATAGATCTGTCTTAAAGCAGAAGATTATAGGCCTACTTGAGGACAAGGCTTCTTAGAGCCGGATTACTTAAGTGCTTTGTTGATGAGAACTCCCCAGTGTGCTCTGTCGTTGGCGGCAGTGAACGAGGGCGTTAGAGTTGTGCTTACACTGTGGAGACACGATTCTTGCAAGACCAGAAAAGTGCATTGGAGAGGAGATACAGACTGTTGTTTTTAAATAAAAATGAGAAAAAGTTTTTGCAGCATCTGTTTCATTTAGCGTTTCATCCATATGAGGTTTTTTTGGGGGGGGATCTTAAACTTGCGTTTCATGGTCATACTGAGATTCTCTGATCATCTTTGTATTGCTTACTCATTAACCTCCCACGCATCGGAAGGGCTCCCCGCAAAGGCGCTTTTCCTCCTATAGCTTATTAGCACCGCGCTGCGTGTGCGAGCAATCACATGCAGAAAAGCGCTTCAGAGCCCTCACGAACCTCACCAGCTCAAGCCGCAGAGCCATTTAGAACGCCTTTGCAAAATCAGCTAAACATCTGTGAATAAAACAATTTATAGCTTAACAAAAATATACCCCACTCAAATGATTAAACCATTTTTGTGCAAAATATACATAAGGTTTGTTTTATTTGCTAAAGTGCACAATAGCATTAGTTCTTCCATTATACAAATGAGTAAATGTGTCATGAAATGCTCTCAGGTATCAAACGCAAGTCATTCATACAAATTTATATTTAATATACAGTGACTGTTGCATTCAGGAAGTCTGGAAAGAAGTGAATCATAAAATGTGTCCACCATCTTACCTGAGAAAAATGTTAATCTTGAGCTACATTGCTCTGCATTGACGTGTGATGTTTGTGCTCAAATTAATTTTTTCATTCATTCTAGTACAATTATCACAAAAGTACATCAAAACACTATATAAATATAAAGCATATATAAAAAAAAAAGTTATCTGGCAGTAACAGATTTGACCATTTTTGAACTTCTGTCTTTCAGGTTCAACACATATGTGCGGTCATGATCTGGTACCAACAAACTTCAAATGTCCCCTTCATTTTCCTGTTCATGTTATTTAGTCTCACAGTCAATCCTGCAACCTTCAGTCCAGTGCCAGCAGATAGAAACACAGTAAGTGAAAACTATGCAGCATTCTCCTCTGCTCAGCAACAGGCTCAATATACTCAACCAGCCGAGGAACAGGGCACGCAACATGAGGAAAATGATGAAGATGATGAGCTTTTCAAAGACATGGATCCTAGAACCCTAGCAGCGGTCCTTCTCGAAGCCCTCAACCAGCCCCAGAAGGAAAAGATGAGTGAACGAGAAGACGGGGGAGCGGAAGTTGAAAGGGAGAAGGATCTCCAGGGCTCAGACAGAGACAGAGATGGTCACAAAGAGCTAGAGCTGGTCATGGCAGCTGCTGCAGCGCAAGGAAAAGATGAGAAAGAAAGAGAGGAGGAAGAGGAGAAAAAAAGGGCTGAGGAGGAGGAACGGCTAACGGAGAAAGTGACGAGCCGCACCACCAGTCAGACAGTACCATTAAAAGAGCAGGTGGCCCCACAGGAGGGGGCCACAAAAGAGGAAGTGATCGAGGAGGATGAGAGGCAGGAGCCAGAGAGAGGAGAACTGGCAGAGGAGGAAGAGCAGCTGAGTCCAGAGGAAGTGAAGAATCTGGAGACTATGTTAGAGGAATTCCAGAGCTACAGCACAGCCACTAAGAGAGAGCGTGACACGTTCACAGGCCAGAGGGAGAGCCGTGGGGAGTATTTTGATTACCTAGACCGTAATGGCCTCATGAACAATAAGATCAAGCCTAAAGCTAAAGGCAATGACCTAGCACTGTCCAAGAAGAAGCTAAAGTGGCAGCTCGAACAAGAGAAGAACAAAATTCAGCCCTTGCAAAGAGGAGGCAACTTCATGGATGACTTTTCCAACAACCTTGCTGACCCAGAGGAGGAAGATGAGGAAGATCAAGAGGACGAAGAACAGCTGAGCCCCGAAGAAGAGGAAACTCGGGCCAAAGCAGAGCAAGAGGAGGTACGCAGACAGGCAGCAGAGGCACAAAGAGCCAAAGTGGAGGAAGAAAAGCTTGCAGACATTGCATCTGACATGCTCCTGAAATACATTGTGAAGCAGGACAAGAAAAAGTACCAAGACAACAATGGTGCAGAAGATAAGCGCTCTGATGAGAAGGACACTAGTGACGACGATGATGACATTGACCCACAGACCATCGATAAGTTGATTGAGATCTCCAGCAAGCTGCATCTTCCTGCTGATGATGTGGTGGACATCATTAACGATGTGGAGAAAAAGAAGAAAAAAGATGCTCCTGAAAATCTCCCATGGCAACGTCCTCTCGTGCCGCCTCCAGCCCCCGTTGCACCTTCTACGCTGTTACGTAAACCTCCTCCCTCAAAGCCTCCTCAACCGAACACAAACTCATTAAAAGCCTGGTTCAAAGACAGGGCCTCAGTCAAGCCCAGCAAGCAAGACATTTGGACGAGGCAGCAGTGGCCCTTTCGTACCTACCCTTCCTACAGTTTCTATCAAAAACCCTACCGGGGATATTACCCCATCTACGTCCCGCCTCCAAAACCAAAATCCCGCTACTATCCCAAGCCCTCTTTCTCCCTCAACGATGTCCTGGGAAACTCACTGGACTATGACTTTGATTACTCCCCCAGACGGAAGTCCCGTCCCTGGGCGCAGTCTCGCCAAAGAGTCCAACCAGCCTTCCAGCGAAACTTCTACTTCCCTCACCCTCGGACTTTCAAAGCCGTACCCATGCCTAAACCCCGGTCACCTCCGCGTCGTTGGCCGTCCTTTTATTACCCAGCCCGAGCTCCTGTAGTCACCAGGGAAGATGATTACTACAGTCCGCTGAGGCAGCCGCCACAGGACAACGAAGAGGAGCTGGAGAACTTCATCGAGAGAGTCTTTATGAAACATCCCAGGATGTTTCAGTGAGAAGACTGGGGGAGAAAAACAGAGCGATGAGGAGGAGGAGAGGAAAGCGAAAGAGAACAACTTAAAGACTGTTCATGGCCAACGTATCATGTTCTGGTTTCTTTTGCTGAAATAAGTTCCGTCGTACTCATTTGCCTCAGATTTAAAGTTTACCCTTAAGACAGAACATATTCAGGATCCTCATGTCTAACTAACCACATCTTCCACCCTCCTCCCCCTGGAGAGACTGAAAGACCAGCAAAGCTACTGGAGCGGTGAGAGGAAAGGGGACTTAAATATCTCAAATACCCAACACTGATGTTCTGCAGACCCCTAGAAGGCCTTTATAAAGGAGCAGATACCTGATAGCATTAAACACCATGTTTTCATCCAATACAAAGACATTCAAGATGGAATCTTGAAAGATTTGCCAGTATTATGAAAGCAACTCCATTAAGTCTTATTTAAGTATCCTTTTTTTGTTTTGTTTTGTATATTTTGGACATTTAAAATCCCAGTGGTCAGTATCATTGATCATAATGTAAAGAGAGATAGCAAAAAATACTCTAAATGCACCTTTAAGGAACGCAAATGCGCAGATTTATTCAAACAGAGAAACCATCACAGTGCCATAATGGTGGAAATATACATTTTGTTTATTCTATACACCAAATGTATTAAGTCTTACTTGTACCTCAGAGTATTCTGCTTGAGCATTTACCATTTGTGCGTTCCCTTGTGAAACAAAGGACACACTCTAAGTCTTGTACATAGAATTAGTTTCTTATCGCTGTCTGCATTTTGCATTTTTTCCTTCGATGTGTTTATACCATTGTTTTTTACGCAAAAAGATAGAAAGCTGGTGCAGAGGACATTCATACATTCCAACGATTTCTAAGAAACAAATTTATTATTTCCTAGAAGCTGTTTTGAATACAACTTTTAATTGCCTTAAGACACTCTCTCCCCCTTTTCAGATGAGCAGCATTTTTGTCACAGACTAGCTGAAAGGTTTGTTCTCAAGCTCATAAACTGAAAAGTAGTGATCAGCCTTTGAACATGTTTTACAAATAAAACAATTATATATAAAGATAATTAAAAACATGTATTTCATGTTTGTGGTTTTAAATGTGTCAAATGTTAATGGTTTATTCAAGAGTAACCTTGCCCCTACGACAGTTACATCTTACCAAAATCAATCGCTGGGCCAATGAGGGCTTGATCAAAAAGCATAGACAATCTATTAAATGATTACAGTTCACATGGGAAGGAAGCAATCCAGATCTACTCAATATCAGTGGTAACGTTAAGTAAGTGAAAATTGAAATCAGAAAAAACTCAAACTTGTAGGAATGATTAAACTGGCTGAAATTGTCCCAAATTAAATGATTAAAAAGTAACAAACTGGTGCTTGTCAATCTGAAAAAGAAAAGTAAGGGGGAGGCATACACAGTTCTAATTTTCTTTAAATGGTTTGAAAGACTGTCAGATGAAAGCTAGGGGGGAAATGGTTAAGAATAGCTTGAACCAGTGGAGGAGTAAAGTTTCTGCACGTTACTGTAAACTTGCATCTAAATTGTGTAGCTTCTTTGAAGACATTATGAGCATCGAAAAAAAGTATAAAAAAAAGATGAATGACTAGTGTATCCAAGTAAAAATGCCGTTAAGTCTTGTGTGAGGAAAAAATGTTTATGTCCTTTCTAGATGTATCTTGTACGTAACATAATAAACATGCGTTTGCTAGATGTAAATAACCGCATGTTGATGACTAGTTTTGCTACACAGAGAGAAATAAATAAACTTGACTATTTTTTATTAAGATTGTTTTTTTAATTCCTTCTTGGAAAGAACATGGTTGTGAGATTTGCACACGTCATACATTTATTTACACACTATTAGTTCCTGTATATAGCTCAAATTAAACAGCACAAATTGCTACAATTAAAGTTTTGGTTTACCTTGTTCCATTACTAGATGGTACCATAATAACTTATGACAGAAAGAGAAGTATGTTAACACAATATATTTGACAACAACAAAATTTGCACATGGCACCAAAACAATACTGAGATAGGAGTGTATTACCAAAAGGAAGTTAAACATGAACATTCACAGTCCCGGAGTGAAAATCTTTCAGAGATGATCTCCCTAATGAGCTCATTTGATCAGCAATTAGCCCAACAAACTGTGTGAGCCCCGGAGCCAATCACTGCCACATATCATCTCCCTAATTGCATGCCAGGTCAAATTTTCTCTTAGCTTTGATTTGGCATACGTGAGCAAATACAGACACGTATGTGCGCACACACATTATTCAGAGACAAAAGAACATTAAAATAGGGCCAGAGGACAGATTTACTGTTTAAAGGGATCATGAAGGGAAAGTGTGGGCTATGTAACAAGAAAGCAAGTGGGGCAGGGGTCTCGACTAATGAGAGACTGAGCACATTAGTAGTCCCACTAAGACTGCTGCGTGCAATCAAAGACTTTCAGCAAGGACGGCTGTTCTGGGGAGAGACGTCCCACTATCACACCACATGAGACATGTTTAGGAGTGAGGTTTGCTTTGCATTTATGTAAATAAACTTAAAGGGATAGTTCACTGGGAAAAAAGAAAAAAAAATCAGCATTTACTCACCAAAAAGATCTTTGGTGGAACACACAAAAAAATATATTTTAAAGAATGTTTTAAATGCTTTTGTCTATACAATGAAAGTCAAAGGGGTCCAAAACAATTAAAAAAAACTCATCAATTCAAGGCACTCGAAAATATTGTGAAAAAGTAAAAAGCCTTTATTCACATGGCTTTAACATTAAAAACAACACACATGTGCGCGTGTCCAAAACAATATTGGGGGAAAAAAAGCAGAGACATTTTTCAAAATATCTTCTTTTATGTTCCATGGAAGAAGGAAAATCATACAGGTTTGGAACAACATGAGAGTGAGTAAATGACAACGGTTTTGAAATAACATAACTCACCTGCATTAAAAAAAAAACATATACAGTACATGATGCCCAAACTAATTACTTTTGTCCTTGCTCATGTTTAATTAGTTACCACACTATAATAAATGACTTGAATGTGTTTTTACTTAGTCTTTCTTTCATAAAACAAAACAATATAAGATCAGCTTACCTGTGAAGCAACACTGCATAAGGTATAAAGACTTTTTTAAGTGAATAATTCTACCAGTACAGTAAGATGCAATTATATAGAAATACATTCATTCTCTGACATTCACTCTAAAGTTATATCATATGGAGATAAAGTGTCATTTCTCAAGTAAACTCATCTTGTTTCAGAATATAGATATTTGGACTAGTAAATTACAAAACATTTAGATGAACAACGATTTTTGTAGTGCATTTAGATGTTTTTTTTTATTCAAAGTAACTGTGGTACAATCTCCTCAGAACAAACTGAATTTGTGCTTTATTTAAAACAATGTGGCAGAGCAGTAAAAAAGTAATATATTGAAAATACATTTATTTCATACTAAGTATAGTTCAAATCTATTAACATATTTAATGATATATCGCTCAAGACTTGTGATTTAAAAATGTACTACTTGTGCCTAATACACATTTCTTAATATTATGCCTAAAATGTGGTTTAATGTCATTATTGATGAGGATTGAATGATCTTTGAATACTATCAGTCTTTAAATGCAATACATTTAAGGTGTACCTGAAGTGTACTTGCAACAGTTCCACTTTAGCACAATCAAATATACTTTAGTATATCTTTAGTTGGACTTCAGCACTGCTTCCACACAATTAAAAGTGCATTAAGTACAAAATTAGTTGTTCGAATTTAGCAGACTTTAAGTATACCAGTTTAGTATACCAAACGTACAATTGCAGGGTATTTTTGTTAAGTACATAAATATGTAAATGTATCTGTAGTATACTTAACATAAAATAAATGTATTTCAAATACATTTTAGTATATTTATTTTTCACTAGGGAACTGTGGCGTCAGTAACAGGCTTTTGTGGCTCCAACTTAACCTTATCCTTAACCATTAGGTAACTACTCATATTCATTTTCCTAATAATTTATTAATATAATTCCATCTCTTCCTAGACCGCTCAGCAAAAATTATTACATGACAACCTCAAGGGTACAAAGACAGCAATCAAACATGGTTTTGTGAACAAGGACCTTCATATGCAAAGTCCTTAGCACTTAATCACTTGACTCCAGGAATTTTCAGTTCACAATGTTATCAACAACAACTACTCAAGACAATGCTGGAAGCAAACAAGTAGTGACAATTTCCCATGAATAAATCAAAATGAGAAAACGATGAAGGTTTTCATAACAAGGACAGAAACAAAATTAGACGAAGAAAATGACAGACTAATGAAATGACTAGTGAAATTGTAATTAACAACAAAAAGGCTTGGAATACAGAGATAACAAAGAAGTGGCCAATAATAATGTTAATGAAGAAAGTGAGGGGGTGGCTATGAGAAAGAGAAATAGAGAGAATGGGGCGACGGAGAGGTTGATAAGGAGAGCGCAGCCCACGGAGGAGCAATGATTCATGCGTCACATGGTTGAGAGGTGAGTCATACTCGTGCTACTGCAGAACCCTCAGTCTCCAACACACACAGACAATTCTGTCATATTCACTTACTCAGGCAGAGCCACTGGGAAGACTAATGGTCAAATTCAGTCTAACAGACTCTGTAATGCCACCCGATTCAATTAAATATAAAGAGAAACATCTAACAATGTGTTAAATCCAATCGTGCACAATCAGGCAATTTTGCACACTGACAAAAGCCAGAAAAAAAAGCATGTGCACTTATCAAAGAGAAAAACATTCCCTTTTTGTGACACCTGCGCACCAGCACACAAACAAAATGACAAACATGGATTTCCTTGCCCTGAAGGCTTGCCCAGAAAAAAGAGGAATGAAAATGCACTTTGTTCTCTTGATCAAATATCGAATCTGTCTGACATTCTCTATGACTCAAATCCCAACACCCCCGATGCAGGGCGGGGGGAAAGCTCAGCATAATGGGAAAACCCACGGAAAGCCCATATGTTCCGCCTCCGCTAAAAACAATCTCTGCCAAGTCCATCAGTGTGTTGGCCTGGAGCGGTCTTCACATTTCATTATGGAGGTGGGAAGCTCTAGGGTGGGTTTGCCTGTAAACACTGTCCCAAGATCAGCTTACACTGGCAGTCATCCGAACGAAAACCTCACATCATTTAAAGGGCAAGTCTGAAACAATAAGGCCAAATTACAATACAATGGACTGCTCATCGGGACAGAGATAGATTATCTAGGGCACCATTTCCAGAAAGGCCTCAAAGGTTAACCTAGACATCACAGGAGTCACATTTATAAAGGTAAAGAGAGGATGAGACTCACTCTTTACAGTGGATGAAGAGTTATTGTCCATAAGGATAATGGGAAAGAAGTAACAACATGACATTAAAAATTCATCATGAGGTAGGCAGAGGCAATTATGATGGGCGGAAGGAGGTGGGGGAGAAAGCGAGAGAGAGAGAGAACATGCAGAGGCACTTGGCAGAAACTCAGTTTCCACTGGAGATGCGCTGGTGCCAGATCAATGGAAAAAGACTCATACAGGGGAGAAATGAGGGCAGTCATCCATCAAACCATCAGTGTGAGACCAGCATATTATACTTACACTTACCCTCAAATGTGCTCTACAGAAGCTAAACACTGTTTCAGGTAATCACAAAGACAAGTTTGATTAACCTTGCAATTATAATGACTTGCTCATCAAATGACACACTGAGGAAATGCATCTGCTGCAAAGAGGATGAGGCTGTATGTTTTGTTGGCTTTGAGTTTCCAGAGTTTCCATTATCCTGTGAATTTCTACAGCCAAACATGACAGATCCGTTGCAACAAAAGCCAACAGATTGCTGACTACTTTAAGCATCCATATAATTACTGGGGTAAAACCCTCTTATCTATCCCTAAAAGGTGCACTTTAGTACCTAGGGTAAACTTTCGGGGTAGACAGGGTATAAACGTGTACTTTTAAGCTCAGTCAGTAGCACAAATTCATCAAGACATTTTAACTTAAAAATGTCATTTCTGGACAAAATAATCTAACGCCTCCTCCAGTGAAAAAAAGTGTCCTCTCACATCCACCAACATATTTAGACCAGATGTGGACTTTTTTTCCCCGCTTGTCAGCGATGCTTGATCTGTGCATATTTCTCTTCTGATTCAGGCGAGATTAATTTTTCACTGGAGAAAACAACATTATAGATAGAGGACTGGAAGAAGTTGAAAACATCTTGATGATGAATTTATCACAAACAGTTAATGGATTGGAGTCATGTGGAGTACTTGTGGATTATTGTGTGGTGTTTGGACTCTCATTCTGATGGCACCCATTTACTGGTGAGCAAGTGATGCAAGGCTACATTTCTCTAAACGTTCTGTGAAAGAAACAAACTCATTTACATCTTGGATGGCCTGAAAGGGAGTAAATATTCAGCAAATTTTAATTTTGGGGTGAACTATTCCTTTAAGCTGTTGCCCTTAAACAGCACACTTAAAGGTACAATGTTTTCACATTTATATAGTGTAGTAAAAGAAAAAATATGCATCGCTTTACATTGAATATTCATTGATTTAGGCCCACTTTTAATTACCTGTATGATTTTAACTTTGTTTATATTTTTACATGGAAAAAAAAACAAGCTCTTTACCTAAAGTCTGACAATAATCTTTAAAAAGCTGCATATGGAAAATAATATAAATAAAGCATATTACACAGAATTTCATGCACTACATAAACGCTGCATGCATATTAGGGTAAAAAAACATTAGTGGACTTGTTAACAAGCATTATAATCCTAAATCCATTAAAAAGACGATGACGCATTGCATTTGCATGAAAAACCACAGGATTATAGATAGATAATTAGTCACTAAGTGCTGCAGAAATGCAATTTGACAGGAGGGCGAAAAGCTGAAAGGCACATGATAGTGTCCCTGCTGTCCATCTCCACCGAGAGGAGATAAAGGAAGACACTGACCAACAGCTGAGCTTATATTTAGACAAAGGAGGGAGGGCTGCAATCACGCTGCGGGTCAAATCGTTTGACACCTTCACACTGATGGTGGTGAAAAACACAACAGATTTCAGTTTTCATACATCCCCAACCAAGGGAAGGAAACACAAACAGACAATAACAAGGCACTGTGAGAATGAGAGATGAAGAAGAGTGACATCGACAATGAAGCACCTTCTATGTTACCAAGGCAAATTATTAGCTCATACGAAACTGAAAAATTTTTTTTTTCTGTCTTTAACATCTGTAGTGTGGTGACTTCCATCTTTTTAATTATCACAGACTTCATCAACATAATTCTTTACTCTAAAAGCATGTCTGTTGACATTATATGAACGTTGTGTCTTCACCTGTAATCTCTTTTTCTACTTTTCCATTGCACCTTCATTGTCTTTTTCTTGGCACAATGGTGGTGCAGTCAGCTTCACTGCACCACTGTCACAAACGACCTACTGGTGACTCATCCACTTACATACTCAATCTCACTCTCTCTCTCTTGCACTCTCTCTCTCTCGCTCTCATTTTCTCTCTTCAGCACTCTTTATCTTTGCTCCACACACATAAATAAAGCATTCCTGACAGAGCATCCTTTTTTTGTTTGTTTGAGGATGCAAACATTATACCAACAGAGGTCACACCATGATGTAAAAAAAAAAAAAAAAGGTAGCAAACATCAAAACTGGTTAAAAGAAATTCTCCACAAGTTTCCTCTAGAAAATGTTAACAGCTGTCATTGGGTATAAAATTAAATAATAAAAAAAGGAAAGGAAGGAAAAAAAAGTTGAATATAATATAAATAATAATAATAATAATAATATAATACAAAAAATAAAAACACGAAAACAGATGAGGAAGAAAGAGTCATTGTACTTGGAAGGCTAAAATTGTGTTTTATTATTTATAAAATTACATTCAAACATAATTCTGTTTTAGTTACCTGACAGATTTTACACAGGTATAAACATGCCCTCATGCTGAATTATTCAATTGCTTAAAAAAAGTTCATCTCAAAATATTCCCTTATTTCACACCACGTTTAAAAAGCTCTGTAAATACATCACACTTAATATCAAAGCCCTCTTTTGTTATCTGAAACAAGCTACAAATACTCCCTTACTTATTACAACTCCACCGCCACGCTTACAGTCAGAAACACGTCTTTGGAAAGCAGGATGTAGACCAAGATAAACAGGAAAGAGCTTCAGCGCCATTTTGTGGATGAGATTCTGTGCCCTGTTCTCAAAGTACACATTCAGACGTTTTACTACTGTGGCTCAAGGGACAGAACAGAATGAATAGACTGCATAATATAGTCCATTCAGTATTGTATTGTATTTGTAGCCATTCAAAAAGGTCTATTTAATATTCCTCCCGTTTGGTGAACATATCCTCAAAATCGGTCCATTAGAAAAAAACCATTAGAAGATTTACTTATGGTCCATATGCTGCAATAGCACTTCATTTAAAGTGGTACACGTACAAATATTTGCATCTCACACAAATAAACATGGCTGGATGGTCAGTGTCATTGTTTCCTGAGCAGCTACAGCAGATGTATGGCATTTAGGAAGATTCAATTGGAGGTTTTTATCTACTACAGATAGCTTTTCCAAAGCAGGTCACTTGATCAATGTAACAATAAATCATTCTTTGACATAAAAATAAAAGCTGAGATTGCATGACCTGTTGTTAAAACTCCTTTTTCTAAAAATGCTTCTGATTGCTAAATTTCAGTGTCTATCTGCTGTCTAACTCTCTTTCTGCAGTTTCTCTTAAGAAAGAGAAGATCCCAGCTAGGCAGCCATTTTAACAGGTAAAAGACAAAAAAAGGTTGGAATTGAAATACAATCACATGCTGATCTCAGTAGTACCAAAATTACCCCCACCTACCCTCTTTTTTCCCGTTCTCCTCCCACCCTTTGGACCCATTCACAAACTCCCCTTCACGTAAGCCCACGTGTCGCAGTAGTACCAACATTTACCCTCCGTGTTGACTGCATTGGAAACTAGTACTAGGCCAACCCCATCTCCTCTAGGACGCTCCTGGGTGACTCATCCTCCTGTCCGGAGAAAAGGAGACGAGGGTTTCCATTAAGGGTTCCTCACAGTGTACACTACACAATGCAGTGATTACTTAACTTGGCAGCTTACAGTGTGTAATGCTCAGAAGAGCTGAGGGGATATAAATGACTAAGGAGCCACAAGACGAGAATTCAAGTAACATTCAAAAATGCATAAATAACACGCATACACACACCTCTTGCAGAAGGTCGGCCTGTTCGATGGCCTTGAGCACGCTCTTCTTGGATGTGTCCTGAATTTCTCCCCCCATAAGAAACTCGTCCAGGATAAAGTAAGCTTTCTCAAAGTTAAAAATGATGTCAAGCTCACAAACCTACAATGAAGACATGAGCACAATCTTGTTTACATGCACAAAATCTGGTGATATTCTAAATATGAGTGTGCCACATAAATGTGTTAACCTAACTGAAATAACCCAACTGAGTTAGCATGCCAGTTCACAGAAATATGAATAAGACAGTAGTTATATACCTGTATTATTTAATGAGTATCCTGTCTCAAGTAAACATTACAAGTCTCTCATGTTCATCAAGGCTGCATTTTTTTTAAATGCAGTAAAACAGTGATATTGTGAAATATTATTACAATTAAATAATACTTTTTTCTATTTAATTATATTTTAAATATTATTTATTATTATTTATTTTAAAGCTGAATTTTCAACCGTTGCTCCATTACTCCAGTCTTCAGTGTCACATTATTCTTCAGAAATCATTCTGATATGCTGATTTGGTGCTGAAGAGACATTTCTGATTATTATCAATGTTGAAAACAGCTGTGCTGTTTAATATTTTTGAAGAAACCGTGTTATATATTTTTCAGGATTCTTTGATGACTACACAGAAACTTAAAAAAAGCAGCATTTATTTAAAATAGATTTTTCGTAACATTACAAATGTCTTTCCTCTTACTTTTTAATGCATAATGCATCCATTTCTTTCAAAACCTTAAACTTTTGAACAGTAGTGTACATGGAAAGTATTAAAATTTGATTAAATTACATCATTTAGGACCGCCATTTACTTCATTAACTTTTTTGTTAACTGTTTGCAAACCAATAATTGACTTGACTAATTAATAATGAAATTAGTTATTAAATATTTTCATCATCGATTCTTCAAATTAGTTGTGTAAACCCGTAACATCAATGTATGTTAATAAATGGCAAGAACAACTTAACCAAAAATTTTAACCGGAAAATTATGTGCATGGTAAAGTGGTCAGAAAGGAACATTGTGGACGCTATACTCCATTACAAATGTAAAATTATGATGCACAAGGGAATTAACCTTAATAAATTTGGCAACCAAAACAGATAATCAAAACAGAAAAGCCATGTGCACAACAGCAAACAATATCAATACAGAGAGAGGTAAAAAAGCATCATGTGACATTTACAGAGAAAAACAAACATATGATGAATACCAGTATAAAAGCAGAGGAGAGGACGGACAAAAAAGCAAAAAAAGATGGGAAAGTAAAGAGAATTTCACAGGTTTTGGGTTGCTGTGATGTGAGGTATGAAATAGCGAGAAAGGAGGAGAGAAAAAGAGAGGCCAGATGAAAGAGGGGTGGTGGCGAGGAATGACTCACACTGCCAAAGTACTTATCCAGCAGCTCAACAAAGCGATGGATGACCTCCAGGGTAATCAGCTCATTGTCCTGCTCCTCCACCGCACAGCAGAAATATAGACTGGCATACCTACACACCCACACACAAACACACCCCGATAAATGGACGTATTAGACGTAACCCAGTCAAAAAGTGTATATGAAGGCAATATTACATGAAAATTAGAAATGTTGCCTAGGAAACTAACTGAACATCCAAATGTATATGAAGAGTTTATTTGCAAAAACAGATAACTCAGTTGTTTACATTTTCAAAAATCATGTTTTTTATTATGTTTTATTGTGTTAGTTAGCTGTATTTTTAAATTATTTTTTAACCTAATTAAAATAACTCAACTGCAGTTTGAGTTAATTGGAATGCACAATGAAAAAACATGATTTTTGAAAACTGTTAAAAACTGAGTTTTTGCAAAACTGATATTGCATCTTAACTCTTCATATATATATATATATATATATATGTGTGTGTGTGTGTGTGTGTGTGTAATAAAGTAATAAATATAATTTTAATTGAAGAAACAAATGAAACCAAATGAACCATAAATAGTAGGGATGCACCGATGTATTGGCCGCCGATATTTATCGGCTGATTTTTGATCATTTTAAAGCCATCGGCATATCGGAAATAGCATAAAAAGGGCCGATACCGATGGTTTATTAATTAACTGCATGGAGACAACGAGTTGCATGTCTGTTGCATAATGTAACGTTTTTCTCTGGGCAAAATAATTAAATACTTGCCAAAACAAAATAAAATATGTACAAAATATAGTCACACGGTATTCATAGGTTTCATGTGACGTCACACAGTGGTGCGGCTGCCATTTGTAGGACCGAATTGCAATTCCATCAATCTGCTGTGATCAGTATGCTGATTTGCCAGAAAACTTTCGTTATGCTCCACCTAAAGCTAATAAATCAACGAGATGTTTTTGATCTAAGTACAGTTATGTGAGTCTAGAATGTTTACGCTGCACTAAACTTTGACGAACAACACTCCGATCCGCAAACAAACAGATGAAGAAGAGGAGGAGGATGACGGTCCAGCGCATACAAGGAGAAAGGTTTGTAGTTTTAGTTTCCACATTCTTATTTTTATGAATGTAACAATGTAATTACTTCAAGGATGTTAGAGTGAAGAGGATTTGTTTGTACTATTAGTTGTATAATTCTAGAAGAACGTTCTTTTCAAATAATCTGTTAACTAAATAGCCTATATAAGCTAGTTGCAGTGATTTTTACAATGACAATGTACTGCAATCAAATTTATATGCATCAATATGTCTCAGATCATTTGCAGTAGCTGTGTCCTGCTTTTACAGTTGCTAAATGTAAGCAGACTTATATGCTCACCACTGCCAAAACACATGTAACTGACTACAACAAAACACAGAATCTTTTGTGTTTCTTTGTTTTGTTGCTACATTAGTTGCTTCTTCACTTAGCATGTAGAGACATACAGGAATAACTGAATATTTCTCTTAAATGAGCCACAAATGTCTTTTAACAATGTTTTGCAGTAACCGAGAGAAGTGTCATCGCAGAAGAAATGGCAGAAGTTCCTCAGACACCTGTGAACACCGAGCAGTGCTTGGAGTCAGACAGTAGACTTCTTTATTATACTTCTCTGACTGGACTAGCAAGGAGAGTCGATGAGAAAGTAAGTTCAAGTACATGTCTGCACTGACCATGATTATACTATGTAATATAATGTTTTCTGCAACAATTGGGGGGAATCTTAACTGAGGAGACAAACTGACCAACAGGAAGCTATGGATCTATTATGTATTTTTCTGCACAGTGATAACTAGTGAAAAGTGTTTCCTATTAATTTACTTAAAAGTATAGTTAACCCAGAATTCTGTCATCATTTACATTATTACATCAATTCCCCCTCATTTTTTTTTTTTAAACCCGAGTTTTGTTTTTCTGCAGAACTCAAGAGAACATACTTTGAAGAATGCTGGTAATCAAAACCAATAGTTTTGTCATGTGTAGACGACATAAAGGGAGTAAATGATTTTTACTATCTATCTCTTTAATTAGGATGATACACACTTTACATTTTAATCATACTGGACACAGCCACTTAATGTGATAGAATTAAATGGGTAAATAATAAGTAAATAGTCTTTCAAACAACATGTGCTTTGATAAAATATATATACATTTACTTTCATTCAGTTTGGTGCATTCAGTTAGACCTTTAGTAATAGATACTTGTGCATTATTTGCTCTTTACAGGTGCAGAAATGAAAGCTCCCAAGCAAAGTACTCACTGGACTAAGATGTGGAAAGACATGCTGCACAATGAACAACAACCAAGAACAGTATTCACTGATTACCTTTAAAAATTATTCATAGTTAGGTAATAATTATTTAAATTATTTTACCAAGTACAAAATGTTTAATTCAAAAACTTTGCCATTTACCAATGTGTTTTTCGAAACACCTTTTACATTACATTTAATGTTTTAACCTTTATTTATTAAATGTTACAGTCCAAGTGTACATATAAATGCCTCATTCATTCAAGTAAATGCATGAGTAATTTTGCAAAATGTGTTAAATATTTTAATCTACACTTATTGTATAACTGCTGTTTTTTGCTGTAATTGCATGCTTTTGTAAATAAATTATTTTGTAAATAAATTTTCCTCATGCCAGCTTGGTCAAGCTTGTTATTTAATGGACTTTAAAATTGCTTTCATAATAAAAAGATGTTTATAGATTTGTTAAGTCATGTTATTTATGTATTATAATCTATATAATTAAAATGAAAGTAAACGTTTTGTCTAGGTAACGTTATTAATTTTAAATGAAATATTAATGAACAGTACAGTAGATATAGAAATGCAACTGTGCTAAGTCTGGCGTGCTGCACAACGGGCCGAGTCCGGCTTGGATGTCGCAGTGTCGGCAAGTTACGGCTGTCGAATCTGGTCCGGTTAATTCGGCCCAGAATCTGAAAGGGAGTACGCAGGCATCCAGGCCGGGTGCTGCAGATGGATCCGGGCCGATGGACAAGTCTCTAGCAGGTGAAATTTTAACTGAAAATGGCCCGAGTGTATGGAGAGGGATTGTGTGTGAGGTAGATGTAAACAGCCGATCAGCAAACGTCAAGTTGGTAAGTTTTCACTAGACTTTAGTGGAGTCAGCAATTCGCTTGACAGTAAATAAGAATCTAATCTTTTTTTTAAAATACCATTGTTTTATGTTGTTGGTAAAGTGTTATTTTGGTTTCCGATTACCAAGGAGAGGCTACGCAAGGTCCTAAAGATGGCGGCCGCAACAAAAAAGTCACGTGACTGAAACCCATGAATAGTACGGCCATATGCAAACGTGACGCTGACCCATCCCACGAGTGAAATGCCCGCTCTCAGCTGTAAATTCATCATAGGTAAGTCGCAATGCCAATGCACCGGCGTTAGAGTTTATCCGAGGATATGTCACAAACCGAAAATGAATGGCAGGTAATATGCAGCTTTTTGTTTGAAACCATGTAGAACACGGATTCACACAAGGTCACATCAGATCACGCACCTGCAGCGTTTCTGTGAACGGAGAAAACAGAATAAATCTATATAGGCTACATAAAAAGGAATATATAGGCCTATACATAAAATATATTTCACTTAAATCATTAACAGATTAACAAAACGAAAGAAAAAAAATTGTGCTGTTTTGGATAATTGTAACGTACTCCGAAGTTCACGGAAAAGAAACGAGACGGCAGAAAGCAGTTTTCTTTATTTTACAAAAGCTTTACAGTTTTGAATGATGTTTTGCTTCTATCTGTATGACAAACCAGCGTTGGTATGACCATAAATTACGGAGTAACAGTTGCGAAAACAATGCAGTGATCGCGTCGGTGCCTCACACGTACATACAACAAATAGTAGTTAAAATATTTCTTGTAAATTTCAACTTATAACATTAATGTAATCAAATTAAATATAAAACCAAAGTTTTTGCCACTGCCAGGGCATTAACGTTTTTATAGAAAATATTTTATAGTTTGTTACAGAAAAACAAGTTATGCTCAGAGCCTAGAGCCTCGATCATAACATTATAACAGGCACCGTCCGAGTAGAGACCTGCACTATTGCGGGACCCAACGCAACAGAGTGCGGCGCGAGACAACACTTGATGGGCGAGTGCGGGTGCGGGCGGGTAGAGACTCGTGTGTGTGGGATGCGGGAGAATAACCGCACCGGAGCACGGAACTTCTGATACGTGCAGCATGATTGCGTATATATATTGTAAGAGGGCCATGTGTCACCGCGTTCCAAACAACTCAAAATAATAAACCACAAAGTTATCAAAGCGATGCACTCCACTGTGCTGAGTTAGAGCGCTTCTCTGTCTTCATGACGCTATCGGAAACTTCCTGTTTCCCACTTATGAAGTCGTGATTACGAGTATGTTGCATTCTTTTCTGTTAAAAATATGAGTGAACAGTGGTTTGTGAATGTTGATGCTTAGCCTAAATAATTTTACCGGGAGCGTTCATGTGTGAAAGCTGCAGCAGTCTTAGGCCCACCCCAAATGCTCTCATTGGTTGAGACGCGTCATGACGCCCATCTCAAGTCAGTACTGATTAACATCCCACCCCTCCTGTGACCCATGGTTTGTCTGTATGTGTAGTCAGAGCCAGTGAGCAACAGACTTTCAAAATAATAATAATAATAAAAAACTACGTTAATGTGCGATAAAATAATTGTTGGTGTTAATTCGTTAATGCATTAACGTGATAATAACGCGTTAACTTGCCCAGCCCTATTTAATACAATTGGTCTTTGGTAAATCTAGAAAAGATAATGCTGTATTGGCTATGACTAAGAGAGATCATTCAAGATTCTCTTCATGATTTTTTTTCTTTTTGAGTAAATTAAACGCTGCACTTTATTATTATTATTATTATTATTGGCAAAGAAAAAGTTAACGTTATGAACAACAAAAATAATGTCGTTATTAATCGGTATGTTTTCTACTCAAACCAGTTTCACAGAGGAATGCAGGAACAGAAACGTTCAAATACTGATTCTGCTCGGAGTGAACCAATCTTTT